GGGGGCGCCGGACCGCGCGAACTCGGCCCGCGCCCGCCGAGTCGGGGCTCTGCTCCTCCCGCTCCTCCGGCTCCTGCTCCTCTCGCGGACGCCTTTGTGCCTCCTGCAGCCTCACCTCGGCCTCTCCGATCCCAATTAGTCGGTTTCAAGGAGGCCCCGCCGGCGGCCCCGCCCACTCCGGCCGACCCCCAAAAAAGGGATCCTTGAAACCGCCCCGTCGAGCACTTAGCGCCAGCCCCGAATGTGCGCCGGCCAATCAGATTCAAATCTGGGCCCCGCCCCGGGCTCTGATTGGTCGCTGCCTATAATGAGACCCGAAACCAAACGCCTAGGACCACCCCGTCTCCCTGGGCTTTTAAAGAGACAGGCATGGGGGGGGGCGGGGTAGGGGCCGCCGCTAGGGCCCTGGAGACCCTGTTCTGGATCCTGGAACCCCGGCCCCCATCTTCCTGGAGATCGCCGCCCTGCCCCGGTTGCTCCAGACGCCCCCCTTCTTGTTCAGGGTTGCAAATCAAGTCAAAAACTTGGAGTTAAAACTTTTTATTTACAAAAATGAACTAGTAACGTACAAACTTTTGTATCTGCCCCTTCTGGCGGAGCCCAGGCCGACGTGTCACCTCACCCCACACTCAGACCTTGGGGTTCGCCTCGCCCCTCCCCCAGCTCACACCCTTCCACGACTCTCCGAAAATGGGAGCCTGTTTCTTTAAGAGGCTCTTAAAGGGGCCGGGAGTCCGGGAGTAATTGCCCCGCAGCGAGCACAAAGGAGCCCATTATGGTCCTTTGTGGCGGTGGCACCTCCGAGAGACAAACTCGGGCTGGGGCGGGGCCGGGGCGGGAGCCGCCCGCTCCCAGTCTTCAGGGCGTGAAGCGAAGTTGGGGGTCGTGATCGCAAGCTAATGGGGGTCGGGGCGGGGGTGCGGACCCCGGCGGAGAGGCTGCTGGGGCCTGGAGAGCGGGGCTCTGCCGTGCCTGCCCCTCCGCCCCCCGAGAGGGTTCCCGAGCCTGGGAGCCGGACTCGCGTGGCTCGGCGCGGTGGGGCACTGGTGCTGCGGCCTCCGGGGCGGGCTGAACGGAGAAGGAACGCGAGCGGAGACGGCGGCGCTGCCGCCCGGAGAGCGGCTTCCTGCGGGGCCAAGAAAGGCCGGCTCTTTACACCAAGAAGTTTAGCAGAAAGTAGAGGGGCTCGGGGCAAGGAGAGAAGAGTCCGTACAGACGGATGGAAGGGGCTGGGTCTCACGGGATTCACAAATGTTTTTCTAGACTGAGTGAAGGATAGGAAGGTTTTCTGATTATTTACGTACGGCTTGAAAGCTGCCCTGTATCCGGGGCGAGTTTCCCCCGCCAAGAAAGTTTTCCTTCAGAGTCAAGGCGACAGGCTGTGGTCCCTGCTCCCGAGCAGCGTGTGAGGACACCCTGTACTCCCGGCTCCTGGGTGTCACCCCGCTCCCCTCCCCTGGGAGCCAGGCCTGCGCACAGGTCGAGGAGGCAGCTCGGCACAGCTCTGCACACAGCGCTGAACCCGGGGGCCGCCTCCCAGCAACGCGGCATCTTCATGTTCCTTGCAGGACAGCCCTCGGGCCAGCCCGAGTGACAGCTGTCCCTTCCCTGGCCACGCGAGGCGGAGGGAAGCTGGGGCTGGAGCGGGGCTGTCCGGGGTCCAGCGTCATGTCACTCAGCTCTTGTATTCAGCACACACCCTCCCTTCTTTGATAGCTTTAGGGGTTTGGGCCCGCTGTTGATGCTGGGGAACCCCTCCCACACTGAAGAGGAGCCTGCAGCCCAAGCCCCTTCTGCACGCTTCTACTGAGGCTTCTGCTTTCAGGCCCCCATGTAAGGGCGGCAGGGGATGTGGAGGAAAATGGCAGTGTCCTTGCCCTGTGGGAGCTGATAGCAGGTACACCAGGCTGGGTGGCACAGGCCTCTCATTCCAGCATGCAGGGAGGCTGAGGCAGGGGGATCACAAGTTTGAGCCCCAACCTGGGCAACGTGGTGATTTAGGGAGACACTGTCTCGAAAATTAGAAGAGGGCTGGAGATGTGGCTCAGGAGACTGTGGCCAGGCGTACGGGAGGTCCACGCCTGCTCCTAAACCGAAACTCACAGGAGGGCAGAGGATGGGTGGCTTCTCACCGGGGCTTCAACCCGCAGGCCTGCGCAAAAGAAAAGTTTAAGTTTAAAGCATTGTAGCCTCCCAGAAAAAAAGTGACTCCGCGGAGATCTTTGGTTTGTGCAGCATTTTAGGTGACAAAAGGAGTCACTGTGGGTCATGACTGCTGTCTTCCCCATGAGCAGCTGGCATTCGGACAGGGCCAGGGCCCCCTGCCGGCTGCCACCCTACACAGGAGCTGTCCTGGATCCCCGGGCCTCTGCACCGGCTGCAGCCCCTGCCTCTCTGATTTCTGGTTTTGAGACACAGCCTTGCTATGTTGCCCAGGCTGGGGTTGAGCTTGTGATCCTCCCGCATCAGCCTCCCAGAGTGCTGGGACTACAGGCCAGAGCCACCACACCTGGCTCAGCCAGCCTTCCCGATGGAGTACAGGAACCCTGAAACAGAAGGGTGTCACGTGTCGTCTGATAGATGCCGCCCTGCGCTTTGAGTTTTAGGAGCATCGGTTTGATCGTTGACCTGCACAGGATTCCGGCTTCCACCGCTGGCTGCGCAGCAACGCGGGACGGAAACCAAGGCTCTTCAGCTGAGGCTGTGGCTCCAGGACAGCACATGGCCTCTGTTCAATCTCCAAAAATATTCTAAAAACCAGAATTTTTTAAAATGTGAGAAATGTCTAAAATAACGTCATAATGGTAAAGTAAATTTCTTCATCAGAAAGGACCAGGATGCAAAGTTTCGTGAGTTAAATTTCACGCATCCTTGAAGACCAGGGGAGTTGCCTGCGTCCACCAAGCTCCCAGAAGCCTGGCCCGTGCATGCACGGCTGCGCACAGCTTTGTAAGGAAAACAGTCTTGAGGTCACCTGACGTGCCAGGGCTGGAGCTGAGGTGCCCGCCCTGCCCACACACAAGCCCTGGCGTCTGTAGGAACCGTGTGCTTTTTAGCTCATGACAGTGACACTGTGGGAACGGATTGTGCCCTTCAACAGGGGGAAGGGAAAAGAAAGTCTGATGTGTATACACAATGGAATACTACCCTGCCACGAAGAAAGATAGCTCTGAGTCATTCATAGGGAAATGGATGGACTGTGAGACCCTAACACTGTGAGTCAGAGACAGGTTACCCGTCACTTGGTTCCTCTTATGTGAAAAATCCAAAATATAAGTAATTTAAGAGCAAGGTAGGGGGCTGGGGATCTAGCTCAGTGGCACAGCGCCTGCCTGGCAAGCGCAAGGTCATGAGTTCGATGCCTAGTACCGGAAAACAAACAAACAAACAAACAAACAAAAAAGAGCAAGGTAAAAGGGGGATGGTAGAAAACAAGACTTTGTGGAGACGGGGTGGGGGAGGGAGGAGGAAGGAGAGACAGCTAAGGCGCTGTGTGTACATTACCAGCCCCCAAGATGGGTGTAATCATTATGTATCACAAACATACACCAAGAAAGAAGAAAGAGAAAGAAAGAGAAAAATAGTTTTTTTTTTTTTTTTTTTCTGTCTTTCTGAGACAGGGTCTCACTGTGCAGTTCAGGCTGGCCTTGAGCTCACTCTGTAGCCCAGGCTGGTCTCAAACTCACAGTGATCCTCCTGCCTCAGCCTCCCAAGTGCTGGGATCACAGGCAAGCGCCAAGATGCCCAGTGAGTGGTGTACTTTTATTCCCTTAGCAAATATATATTCAGCACTGTATCCAAGCCCTGTCCTGGGGCTTCTTCTGTTCTGGTGTGAGAGAAGGGGGGACGCCTGGGGGTGAGTGGGGGTTGTGGGGGCGTGAGGGAGAGAGGGGCAGCAGAGGGAGACAGAGACAGACACAGAGAGAGGAGAGACAGAGAGAGCTCAACCTGCGCAGGGCCTGCGGGCAGTGTGCAGGGCTCCCTGGTGACGGAGAGGCGCTCGCCTGCTTGCGTGCCGTGGGCTGCAGCAGGGCAGGCACGGGTGTCTGGCAGGGGCAGAGGGCCCTGGGTGGCCGCGGGGCTTGGCATGGAGGCGGTGGCAGCTGGCAGTGCTGAGGACCCCAGGTCCGGGCACACAGCCTGCCCTGCGGGGACCTGAGCCTCGGGGGCGAGGCAGCCGTGCCGGGGTGGCTGCAGGAGCGAGTGGAGAGCCCAGACCCTGGGCTGGCGGGGGCCACAGACCAGGCCCAGAGGTGCAGAGACAGATGCCACCCGCTTTCCTTCGCAGGGAGTGCACGCTGCTGACGTCACAGCGGAGCAGGTTAGACAGCACTCAGAGGAGACGGTCC